GGCAACAAACATGCGAAAATGAATCAAGCATCGCGAACTTTCTTACAGTAGCAGAATCTTCTCCAGATCACTGAACAATCTCCATGTGATGTAAATGTGAACGCTAGATTAGTTTCCGTCTTTTTGTAACATGGATAATAACCCATACGTATATCAATTCCCTCTGCTGAGGTACAAAGAACGTGACCTCTCTCTGGAAGATATGCGATGACAAAACAAACAACTATTATTTGTGTGAATGCTTTAATTCTAGTATAAAATATACACTATTTTACTTGTTTGTTTTATCGATACATACTTGACAACGTGGTATTTGGTGCTCGGTCCCTAATCGGGAACTGTATCGTACGCCGCAGAAAATCAAAGGATGTATTTGTCTATATGCATAACCACAGTACACCTAACGAGTCGAAATGACGAAAACGCCGTTCCCTTCACTATGCTTGTGCAAGAGGTTACGACCTGTTTGATGAACAGTACATCTAAGTCATGCGCGAAGCACATGTTAAGGGGCATATTTGGAGCTGGGTCAGCTATCCACCAACCGGAATCGATGAACCGAATAGAAAGGGGACTTGCATTAAGTCAAAATCATGGTAACTGAAGCTGGGTTTTGAGATGTTGAATTGTTTGTCTCCGTTCAATGGATTAATCAGATGGCTGAATTTGTAATGCATCTGCAAACAAGCGAACTGTGCTTAAAATGATTATATGTGTGTTTTGAACATGGTACCGCAAGGGGAGCTGGGGTTTCTGAGAGCGGATTATAGGATTGCACTTAGGCATTTTCGACAGTTACTTTGTGGATAGGGCACAATAGAACAGTGGTGTATTTTGGGTAAAAAGTAATACTTAATAGGTCCCGTCGAATGTAAATTATAGGGAAAATAATCATTCCTGATAAAATGTAAAGAGTTTGGATGGATTCACCAAAGACATGCGTAAACGAGCCGAGATGTTCGCTCGATAGAACTATACATCCATAAATCTACTGGTTGGAATTTTGGAAACACATCGTTTGGTTGCGTTGTGTAGACACCTTGATAGCACAGGTTATAAAATGATAGGTGGATAGGACAATGCTCCGCGTCAAGTCTTTCTTTAAATATTGTTAGACTAGGGACTGAGACGACATAAGTTGGGAGAGCGTTCCACGGCTGATACACTCGGAGGTAGAAGAAATTTCTACGATATTCTAGACGGCTAGACTATGATGTTAGTTTCAAAGGATGACCTCTTAGGTTGGTGTTGGAGTTCAGTTCCAGCAGCTGGTGGCCAATGTGGTTTTTGTTCTTCAGAATCTGGTAACCAAAATGTTTTAACAATCAGCATTTGCGTCCATTCTTCACTGTGCCAGTAAGTGTCTCCAACTAAATGTGCTCGGCATCTTTGGGATCCAAACCTTACAGTCAGCGGGTATCAACTAAGGCTAAGTTGAAAGTCAGCGTCTCCATTACCTTCGACCGAATCATCGACTGATCCCACCTCTTTTCTTATCCACACTACAATAAAGCGAATGCATCTCGCGAGAATCGGTGTGCAGATATGTATGGCATTACCAGGCTGTTGTAACTCGGTAGATAAAGGGATGGCAAGGAACGATTCACTTACTTTTGGCGCACTACAAATAAGACGTCGGACACACTCACTGTTCGAGCAGTGTTCCCAACAGGTATGAGCTAAACTACAAAGACACCGATGACTGAACGCAATTGGTCTGGTTAAGCTAGCCGATTTGATAGGCCCGGTTTTATAACCGTATGAGCATTAGACAAACGGTTACATTGTGGGCTAAATCATCCAGAGTGAGTGTGAAATCGCCTCTACGCTCTAAGTTCCGAAGATAAGTAAAAGCTCCTTGGGGTTTTGCTATGTGGTCCGAGACTTTGTCTTCCATCCCTACGAGTCCTGGTATTGCTGATCTTCACTAAGATTCCGTGCAGTAACTGTTCGCTGTCAATTATAGTAAAAACAATGCAATTTGAGGGGGCGGAACACGGCCCAAACAGAGAGATTCTGTGACCAGACTCACCGACTCCTGGTGAAGTTGATGAAGGTTATCTTCCTAGTTTTGCAGGCTGTCTTAATAACCGTGCACCGTCTTGTCCATGTATGTAAGACAGTCATTCCACGAGCCAACGAAAAACTTACTAAGGATTCAACGCAGTTAGACGGATAGCTGCACATTCAGAAAGCAAACATCTGAGAACATCCGTAGTGCGCAATCCTCGGATCCGCTAGGAACCAAACAAATTTACGCGTGACACCAGTGGACATGTGTAACTAGGGCAACAACCAAACCTAAACTACCCGCCTGTGCAATATTGATTGCCTAAGGCAACAACACCCCAATAAATTTGTTTTGTAATCTTCAATTGTATTATCTAAAGTTGTTTGCTAACTAGCATTAACCAGGGTCATATCGTTACATAAGGCACAGTGAAAATATGGTCGTCCATTTTTAGTACCAGTACAAGTTTGTCGCTTGGCCACAAGACGTCTACTGCTGGCTGACTCGAAATGAATACACCGGGAAAGCGCTACGACTAATACTACGGTCAAATGAATAATTTGAAATGCAAGAGGCCCAAAGTTTACCGACTTATTAGATCGTCCTTTTAATCATACCAAGAATTACAGATTTGTTGACATTTAATCCTTCTCAGAATCCGCCAACGAATTCGTTTACTCCCTTGCCGAAGTTCTCAATTAACAGCGCTCTTGTGTTTATCTATTACTTAATGTCTTATCGAACATAACAGTCCAACACACAAGCTTTCTATCAAAAGATCATTTGTAAAACCTAAAAACGTCTTTTGCTTTATATGTTGTATTTCGTTTCTCCACTTTATTTCAGATTGAGAACTATATATATATATATATATATATATGTATAAAGGGTAAGCCGCTTTTTTTAAAACCTGGATAAATTTCATTCCAGTTTATTTGTTTTGCTCTGCCTACCTTAATAATCTTCCATTAAGTGGCCACGTTGCTTACACTAATTATGGTTATCTTCGTTAATGTTATTGCATTGGTAGCATTATTTGAGTAACTTCTGGACATTCTGTCCTTATCGCAGGTTCGTTGCTAACCAACTTACTTCATATGGTAATATAGCGAAGAGTTATGTCTGCAAAGCCGTATGCTTTAACAGACATATTTCATTTGATAATGTCCTTTCAAGTGATTGGCTGTTGTTTGACATCCCCGGTGTAGCTGCACTTCATGTGGATGTTGAAAGGTGTCTACCGGTCTATTACCCACTACCCCGTCCATACTGGCTCCAGGAGACAGTTATTTGTTGCTGGAACCGATGGGGTGCACGGTCCTCGTTGTCGTGTTAGGCTCAAAAATTGGTTTCACCCGGTATGGAGCGGACTATGACACAGCCACCGCCTTGGCTACCTATGGTAAGCATGATTCCCAAATAAGATAGCTAGGAATGCTGTTGTTGGGCTGGCTGAAGGAGTGTGCGTCGCCTCCGTTGATGAGACGTGGCTCCCATCCACATGCCTCCCGATCTTATTCCTTAAGGTTTACACTGGATGTGTGGTTGTGGATGGATGTGCGGGTGGTGCAGTGCTAGACAATCATGGTCCTCTGTAGGCACAGGCGTCCTGTGGGTGTTATGGAGGCGACAATGACAGGCAAATCCGGAAGCGGATATCGCCAACCATATATGCGTAAGACCTGGGGCACAAAGTCGGCATTAGTTGAGAACCTCGCGAAGGGAAGCTCGGGGTCATTTTACGGCAGCCTATTACTTTTTAGTCTTATTTCAATGCGCCAGAAACATAATCGCATGATCCTAAGTTTTCTCATTTTAATACGATATCTTCATTATCTGCACACCGGCGTGTGAGCTCATGGTATGAGGCAACGAAAATTTTCGAGGGCATTAAATTGTGTTATTCGGAGAAAATGAATTTTATCATCTAAAATGCTAAATATACTTGTTGTATCTAGTCTGTGCTCTTTCAAATGCAAGTTATCGGGAACGACGACATGAAGTCAGTGTACTTCAAACATGGGCAGTCTTCCACTTGAGGTTTTTGAGGCGAGCTTTTGGTATGTTTGAGCGTCAGACAGTACCGCTGCTAATGGATTGGTATGTTTGTCAATATGTTAAATGTGCAGTTAAGAACTGTCATAAATGGAGAATCCCTAAAGAAGAGCCACCAAGACAACACGTGGACTATCCGGTCTCAGGTACGAAGTGCGCCTACATTTACTCGATGTGTTCTCCTCAGAATACCGACGGTTTCTCGGAGATCTTATGCTCACATACCGGATACTAACCGGGAGCGAGCAACCATCTATATCATTGCTGACCTTAGCCCCTTACAAAAATGCCAAGGCAACCACCTGAAACTAGTAAGGTAACACTCCCGTCTGGATGTCATAAAGTATTTGTAATTTCTTAGAATCTCTTCCCATTGGAATAGATTATCAACACATGTGGTGAAAGCTGCAGACATCGTGACATTCGATGATAAACGCTACACAACATTGTGGTAAGGTGAAATGGCTAAGCTACTGATAATTGACGTTCCACGTTGGAACATCATTCATTTTCATTTTGCTTTTTATTTTCCAATCTGTGAGTCTTGTAAAGTTATAACCGTTATCCAATCTTATGTTATTGAAGTACTGAACAAGCAGGGGCTGTGTTTGTCCCGCAGTCAAATGTCTGATGATTGGAGGACACAGGCCGAGCCATGCAGTCACTGGGTCAGATAAACGAGGCTGCTTAATGCAAAACGCCTCCGGTTTTCGCGCCAAACGTTTGAAACAGGAGCCCCAGATACTGGCATAATCACAAGTGCGCAGAGAAATGGATTCGCAATGGGAAGTAAAGCATGCAAATGGATCGCAGTACGTGTGTGTGTATGTGTGTGTGTGTGTGTGTGTGTGTGTGTGTGTGTGTGTGTGTGTGTAAAGAGACACGATAAACGATAGGTGCCCAACGTGCATGGAAAATTAGTAATTGGAGTTACCGGATCATCGTATTTCAGCAGCAGCTCGATCGCGTCCCGTATGTCATCCGGAATTGCTGGAGGCGAGGATGCTGTGGGAATGAACATGGGCCAGGATACAAGAGGCGATAATTCAGGTATTAAAACACTCGTCACTAGGCTGCGAAATTATCGGCAAGCTGTGTACTTATGCAAATGAAGAGTTTTGTTGAGATGACAATTGCTTCCTAACTGCGGATCCATGGTAACTAACAAGTTCCAGTCAATGGTTAAACAGATCCCAACCCTAAACAACAATCGGCCATTAAACACATTTGCTGTTGAGAAGAAGAGTTCGATGTAACCTGAAGATAATTTGTCATAGAACTTGTAACCCAAATAGATAAAGAGCATTCGAAAAATTGCCTGTTAAGACTGGCAATGTTCAGCTGATCACATATATGTGAAGTTTTAAATGTGCTGATTTCATCTTCATTGTCTTTATGAAAACAAGCCTATTTCGAACACCCCAATAATTGTAGTTTGAGAGGAAATATGCCACACATGGTCCACACACCCGGAGGTACGTTTGCACCTTATTGGTAAAATCTTCTCATACGGCACATACCATTATGAAACGCTTGCATGAAACGTTTGTAAGATTACTGTTTTACGTAGTGAATAATATCTTCCCAATACACCCAGATTAGTAATCGTAAATTCTGCACGCAGCTTTGTTGGTGATTTCTAGATTCGCTCTTGAAAGCACTACAACACACCTGGAAGTTAGTAGAGCCAATCGTTGAATACCACGGTTTATGCGGAAATCTTCCTGCTAGTAATATTCTCCGTGTGCGCATTACTCCTCTTAGGGGTTCCAAGTAGCCATCATCGTCCTTCATGTCATGTCTTGTCAAAAGTTGTATTCATTCTCAAGGGAACATTTCCTTTTTTCCTGCAAATTATCCAATAGAAATGCTGCCCTACTGCAACAGTCACACCGACCCGTCTACCCGATAAAGTCATCCTACGGTTCATGACAGGATTCTTGAAAAACAAACTTCGGAGATGTCCCGTGTAACGTCACCTGATATGTTGTTTCAATTAGGGTCCGAATAACCTGACTCTAAATGATAAAAGTATGTGAGATGCCACAAATTTACACGAATCAGGTAGCACGAGTCGTTAAACGGAGCCCGTCTACCAACCAAAATTGTACACGAATTTCAATTACATCATTGCTGAACTAATTCGGATGCCTGTTTTACCCAACTGAGACATATCGGCAGCGCATGTTACCAGTGAGCAGTGTCAGATTGCGACACCAGAACGTTCCATTGAAATATTTCAATCCCTACCGCTACTTTGATACGTTTAAGCGAACTCAACTTTGGTGGAGGCGATTCCGTTTATGCGGTCAGTACAGGGTGAAAATATCCACCTTAAACTCGTAAAGTTGCACTGTTAAATCCCTCAGATGGTGTAGCTGGTCCTTAAGTCAGATCAATGAGCCAGTAAATAACATAAGCTACAACCGCGTACCACTGTCTTCGAGACATGATACATGGACCTGTACTTTCTGCACTTTGTTGAACCACATATTTTTCACACTGACAGACAGATAATCACATCATCATTGATAACAGTTAATCCGAAATCTGAATTGAAGCACCGCTGCTATATTGGCACAATGAAGTTAGTAATGAGAATTAAAAGATTGCGAGAAGATAAATCTAAAGTAAAACCTAAAAGCCTTAGTAAGCACTTATGATATAGGCGCCTACACCTTCGCTACAATACATACTTGAAAAGGGTGATTTATCGTTTTATGATGAGACGACATCTGCAAACTGCATCATTGAGCATTTCACTGACTCCAGATATAAACAAGTTTGCGACAGCATCAGACACACTGTAGACAGGCAGTCAGACCAAAAGATGACAGAAAAATGTCAATGCTGCAGCCTGCGACTTGTGTCTGTAAAGTTTTGTAGCCGAGTTCAATGTGGCTCGTGTGGTGTACATCCAGTTGGTGAGACGAAACAACAGCACCGAGTTCAATAGCCAGTGACTTCATTCGTCGTTGCCAAATCAGCTCTATCTTCAAGTTTTGCGCCATCTCCCATCTCGTAAACAAAACAAGCCTGTCCTCGGTATATGGTAAGCAGATGTATTCCGCGTGCCCAAGCTGATGCGAATCATCCAGTGCTATTTGTTGCTATAAGGAACGAATCTGCTCATCGTCTACCACTGCTCGTCTGCCCATGTTATCATGGTGAACATACTGATATCATCCGACACTGGTAATGCTTTTTAGGCAACGATGATGAAGAGCTTGAAATTGCCTAATACCCTCATATTGTATGGATCATCTCCCACTCACACAAAGAAGAAGAACAGCCTTGCATGTTGTGTAGCATACATGCTTTTCAAATAGATGAACTCCCTACTTGGTGCCGCAGTCACAGAATCGGTGAATTAAGTGCAATCGCCACATGCCCAGCTATGTTGATGCTTCTGTGCAGATGGATGAATTCTTCGATTACCTGAAGTTACTCTTTGTCAAGAGCCAAGAGACTAGTATGCGGCTGACGGTCCTGCAAATGGAATTTTCACGCTTGACACGTGAATCATATATCCAATGACGGGAGTTTCTGCAGGTTTGACTCTAACGAACTGCGGATTTCAAACAACAACGCCATATTCAGCATAATCTACATCAACTTATTTCCCATCAAGGTAAAAAAAACTGACGTGCTTCGTTTAACACAATCTAAGAGGCGATGATGCGCCAGTCATTGCAGCCAGATGAAATCCAAGTACTTGTAGCCACCACAATTGATGTTAATCCTAGCTACACCTCGATTCGCCTTAAGTATTCATGTACCAGTGAACTGTCACTAATCAATCCGCAGTAGCACAGCCCAAAATTAATATTCATGACTTAAGGCGTCGTTTAGATTCTTTAACCACAGGCCAGTGCAGCCAAGCGCCATCTTTCTTGACTCATTCATTTCGAACCGCATTTGCCTGAACAAAAAATCACACAAAGTATCGAGAAATCCGGCGGGGAAAAAAGCTTCAACTAGTTCATCACAATTAGATTACCGAAAAGGTAGGCCAAGTGCCAATTGGGAGAAGCGCCAAACGGCCGTATCGTCCTTTTAGGACTGACCAGTGGTGCGCGTTCCCTCGGTTCCCTTCAGAGAACAGAACACATGACGATTAATGGCAAGCACCATTAACCAGCAGCTTAGGTCACTACAACATGGGCCACGATAGCTGACCACCGATGGTTGTAATCTAACTGCGGTGAAAAAGCATTAATTAGATCGCCGGTTGTCTACCACTCGTAAGCCAAACATTGGCTGCATCCATGTCAGAGAGAAACTTGGTTTGTCCACTGTTATGATAAAATATCTTGTGCAATCGCACGTACTTACCGGTGCATGGAAATTTGGCTGTGCCCCACATTTCCACTATGCGCATTTGAGAAGAGCTCTGTGTGGCGCTTCAACTATGTACTGGTCGATAGGCGCATTTACTGCTGTCCAAGCGGCTTCGTACCAGAATCGAGCCACATATACGTCTGTCTCCGTCTCATTGATTTATGTCATCTCTATGGGTACATCACGTGTGTGGGCGGATACTATGGGTGTGAACTACACAAAGGAACATTCGCCATATGCAAATCGTTCTTCTGTAAGTTAAGCTAAGTATCACAAACTTCAGTTTGTCACAAGAATAGTTTAGTTGTTTCCATGACCCACAAAATATCGTAAATGCAGTTATAGATTGGCGTCGCACTCCGGCTGAGTGCTGAATACTGCAGCCCCTTTGTTAGACGGAATGATTTGTTAGTACTTATTGAACAAACGCGGAGCAAAGAAGATGAGCCCGTAGATGGGCAATGATGGTCAGAAAGCAAACAGAAACACAAACTGGAAGGTTCACAACCTACGTAATTCGTTGTTCTAAAGTTTCAGTTACCCATGGGGTTGCAAGGAAGCAGTCATACCATACGAATAACCGCAGTTGTACGAAAGCGGTTTTTTTCCTGTCTAGGATACATTTACCACGATGGTAGTCGATGACACTGTATTGATACGAACAGTACAAATGCAGAGGAAGCAGGAATTCAAGTACAGTTGAAACGCATAAAAAGAGCATCAATGGTGCTATTCAACGATCACCGATACACTGAGGGCCGAAACGTTTCGACTCCTGTGGTTGCTTCATTCACCCTTTTACCACATTCAAAATTCGATCCCAGGCTCCCTAATTAATGGTTGCCGCAAGAAAGAAACCAACAGAAGGTCATAAAAAGTCTCCTAGTTATAAATAATTTAAAAAGATGGTTCCCGAAGCTGAAAGGGATACAACTCAGGAACCTCCTCAATGGCAAGTGTAGTTAGATTCCATATTCGAGATGTGTAGGAGCAGATCTGTGGATGTAAGCTTTTAATACTAAACAGAATAAAAAGTCCTGGATGCGATTAGAAAATGCGCTGACAATGAAGATAAACATGTTTAATTTAGGAACTAACAACCCCATGAATCAAGTAAATGACGGGTGACTCAAGTGTATGCGTAAGAAAAAGGAAGCTGAAATGTGCACGGCTCAGCCTAGAAGAAATCGGGTGTTTAGTACACATAGCAACCCATTGTCCACTATATATAAAGTTATGTCATGGCGAGCCATCTGCGGGTTTGCCTGTGAATGGTAAGTTGTTGTTACAAATAACGTTTTGCTTCGCAAGGAACATCTGACAAGCTTACGCAATTCATCAATGTTCACATCTCCATATTCCGTAGATTCGTGCATTCTGCACAATATACTCCTGAAGTAGGAGCGCAAGGTGCTTCGATAGTTCTAAGCTTAGTTATCATAAGCGCTATGCTACTGCACTTCCGGTGTCTGTT